AAGAAAAACAATAGTATCAAGATTCCTAATGATGGTCAGCGAGTAAGTTGATAGAAATAATAACAGCAACAGTAATACAAATGCCATAGCGAGTAAAATCACAAAAAACACACATGAGTTATGTGAGTTATACACATATGTGAGTTAAATCACGAAACACACACACATATATATATATATATATATATATATATATATATATATATATATATATATATATATATATATATATATATATATATATATATATATATATATATATATATATATATATATATATATATGCATTATGACAGCCTATACTATACTACAAAAATTATAATAAAAATCTAAAGTCTTGCTTTAAAAGGGTTTAAAGACTGCACATTCACCAAGTGAACCAGTAATGCATTCTACTCATTGGTAATACGGTTACTAAAGAACTCTTGTCGAGACGAAGAATGCTTGACATTTTCTTTTTTAATTCTTAGACTATGACATCTTATTGCTGATGCTGGTCCATTTGCTCGTAATGACAGCGCAAATTGTTGTGATTTAAGCCATGTAATGTAATCTATATTGCCCAACAATTCATACTCTTGTATTACTCTTGTATTTGTACTTGTACTGTATTTAATTTGTGTAAATATGTAATTTCAAAAATTTCTTAAATACTTGTATTTAAGAAATATTTTTTTAATTACATTATTCTATTAAAATTATTCTATTTAGTAGACCATTTTATCAGTCTTGTCTTGAAAAATCAAGTACAAATATTTATATTTGTATTTAGAAAATGCCAATTGCGTATATTTGTATTTGAATTTTGAAATCTAGAATTAACATATGTGTATTTAATCAAATGTATTTGACCCCAACCCTCGTCTTGGCAATAAAGAGGAAACAAAAAAATCATTTTCTGCAAAATCAGTACATTAAAAAAAAAAACAGAATCTCAACTATTTTCTGATTTAAAACCATCACCTATATTTTATTTGGCATATAAAAAGCCATAAGACATTAAGGATACCCCATAAGTTGGATTAGTAGAACAATATTTATCCTGCCAGGGTATTCATAAAGAACTACTAACTTTGATTCTGCTCAAAACCTGTGAAAAAAACATCAATCCCACAATACCAAAATTTTTGATGAAATGTGAAACTGACATAAATAAAGTAATATCCATTAATACAATGCAAAGAGTATGACTGGTAAAAATGAGGCAATTTTCTTGAGATAAGTTTTCAGATTTTACTAATGGAGATTTTCTTATCATCAAATGACTAGCTTTATCTGATCCTTGGCTCATTCTGATTAGGTAGGTAGGTTATTGTTTGTTTTCTCCCCCTTTTCAACCTTAAAAAAAATTTGTCTATCAAATTGTAGATAAATATATCTCATTAGAACTATGAAATCACAGAAAACATACTTTAGCACAATTCAGCATGATAGAGCTTTATTAGGCACCAGGTGGCAGAAGCTGAAATTAGTTCTGGTCTTCAAATTCTCAACTTATTAAAAACCATGAACACTGTTCTAATAATAAAACAATAAATTTACGACCGCAAAAATAATAACAGTCAAAACTTGCATATTTTAATTTATTGTTTATCTAAACATACTTCATTACTAGGTCCGAAAAATACGTGCTGTAATTTTAAAATCAATCATTAAAAAAATATACTTTAAGCTATTTTTAAATTTAACACAATATTAAAATCTTTTTTTTGTTTGGGGAAACTTTGAAGAATTATTTATTTAAAAAATTAAATGTTTTAAAATAGACTTTAATTAATTGATAATAAAATTAATGATAAAAGATATAATTTAAATTTTGTTGTTCAAGTTTGTTTGTTTTGTTTTGAAATAACTTTAAGTGGTTTAAATTAGTTTTTATGTCTATTTTTAAGCCATCTGTTTTTAATTTTAAATAAATGTCTGCATTATAGAGTTACAAACATTTAACTGACAGTTTTATTTGATTTATAAAAGAATATTGAATGATCACCAATAAATTTTTTTAGACTGCAGTGATTTGCGGTTGTTTCATTTTAATATTACAATGTAGTGTATGCTTTTTTTTCTAGCTTTATCTTATGATTTATCATTTGAATTAAAATAATAAAATTTGAATTATATTTTTTAATAATAATAATATTATTAATAAAAATATTAACAATATGGTTTTATAATGAGATTTTATATCATAATTTCAAGATCAATATTAATGCAAACAAATTTTGCAAACAATAATGTTGATATTCCTATATTAATGAATGGCAACCCTCTCACTAAGTGAATGGCAACCTTTTCACTAAGTGAATGGCAACACTCTTATTGAGACCATTGCTTTATGTCTTCACAGACTATCAGTCACTAGCGATCTCTCATAGAAATCAAATATATCATCCATTGCAAGGTTTGGCATCTGTTAAGGTAACATCTCTTTACCATACTCACCATTTATTTACTCCCAATTCCATTCTCTACCTCTATAAAGCTCTTAATTGTCCATGTATGGAATACTGTTGTCAAATTTAGGCTGGTTCTATAGATATCCTTTCTCTTTTAGACAAGGACACACATTGTAAACACATTGTAAATGTAGTTTCACCTGCTCTAACTGCCATGTTTGAGCCTCTGTCCTGTTGCATCTTGTTTATTTACTTCTTTATTTAGGTAATCATTTAAAAACTACTTAAAGTATTTTTATAAACTAATTAGGTAATCTTTTAAAAAACTACAGAAGTCTAGAGAATATTAGTACATTTAGTAATATTTTTATATTTTCTCTTAAACTTTTTCACCTGGACTTAGATGCACATAAAAAATCACTAATCACATTACAATGACATTATATGCATGAACTACATTATATGCAGGAACTACATTATATGCAGGAACTACATTATATGCATGAACTACATTATATGCAGGAACTACATTATATGCATGAACTACATTATATGCATGAACTACATTATATGCAGGAACTACATTATATGCAGGAACTACATTATATGCAGGAACTACATTATATGCATGACCTAAATTATATGCATGAACTACATTATATGCAGGAATTACATTATATGCAGGAACTACATTATATGCAGGAACTACATTATATGCAGGAACTACATTATATGCAGGAACTACATTATATGCATGAACTACATTATATGCATGAATTACATTATATACATGAACTACATTATATGCAGGAACTACATTATATGCAGGAACTACATTATATGCATGAACTACATTATATGCATGAACTACATTATATGCAGGAACAACATTATATGCAGGAACTACATTATATGCATGAACTACATTATATGCAGGAACTACATTATATGCATGAACTACATTATATGCAGGAACTACATTATATGCAGGAACTACATTATATGCATGAACTACATTATATGCATGAACTACATTATATGCAGGAACAACATTATATGCAGGAACTACATTATATGCAGGAACTACATTATATGCATGAACTACATTATATGCAGGAACTACATTATATGCATGAACTACATTATATGCAGGAACTACATTATATGCATGAACTACATTATATGCAGGAAATACATTATATGCAGGAACTACATTTTATGCATGAACTACATTATATGCATGAACTACATTTTATGCAGGAACAACATTATATGCAGGAACTACATTATATGCAGGAACTACATTATATGCATGAACTACATTATATGCAGGAACTACATTATATGCAGGAACTACATTATATGCATGAACTACATTATATGCATGAATTACATTATATGCAGGAACTACATTATATGCATGAACTACATTAGATGCAGGAACTACATTATATGCATTAATTACATTATATGCAGGAACTACATTATATGCATGAACTACATTATATGTATGAACTACATTAGATGCAGGAACTACATTATATGCATGAACTACATTATATGCAGGAACTACATTATATGCAGGAACTACATTATATGCATGAACTACATTATATGCATGAACTACATTATACGCAGGAACAACATTATATGCAGGAACTACATTATATGCATGAACTACATTATATGCAGGAAATACATTATATGCAGGAACTACATTTTATGCATGAACTACATTATATGCATGAACTACATTTTATGCAGGAACAACATTATACGCAGGAACAACATTATATGCAGGAACTACATTATATGCAGGAACTACATTATATGCATGAACTACATTATATGCAGGAACTACATTATATGCAGAAACTACATTATATGCAGGAACTACATTTTATGCAGGAACTACATTATATGCATGAACTACATTATATGCATGAACTACATTATACGCAGGAACAACATTATATGCAGGAACTACATTATATGCATGAACTACATTATATGCAGGAACTACATTATATGCATGAACTACATTATATGCAGGAACTACATTATATGCATGAACTACATTATATGCAGGAAATACATTATATGCAGGAACTACATTTTATGCATGAACTACATTATATGCATGAACTACATTTTATGCAGGAACAACATTATATGCAGGAACAACATTATATGCAGGAACTACATTATATGCAGGAACTACATTATATGCATGAACTACATTATATGCAGGAACTACATTATATGCAGGAACTACATTTTATGCAGGAACTACATTTTATGCATGAACTACATTATATGCATGAACTACATTTTATGCAGGAACAACATTATATGCAGGAACAACATTATATGCAGGAACTACATTATATGCAGGAACTACATTATATGCAGGAACTACATTACATACAACAACAAAGAGGTTGAGGTAAGGCAGTATTTATTTGTTTGAAGAAAATCAATTTACAGTACAAAAATAAATTAAAAGAATAATATATACATTAGTACACATAGTAGTAGATGTGCATGCATATGTGTTTGTGTGTGTGTATTAAATGTGGTATTTGTAAACAGAGTTATTATTAC